CTTAAACATTAATTACACTTAGAATTAGGTTAGTGAAAGCTGCACACAAAGCACTCTCATTTAAAGAATTTATCTCTGGGCCAAACTTCTACAAGAGATAAGATGGTCCATGTTTGAGACAGCAAATATGACAAAAGAGTTTTTGAATAAGCAGCACTGACAGAAAAATAATACATGAGTGGATGTGTCCATCTAGTATTTTAATAGACCCTACACACTAGTTTCCAGCTCACCTGGCAGCTCCAAACGCGTCCACACACATTCCTCTTCATGCCTGCAACTTCCCTCATTTAAATATTGGACATTTTATTTTCTAATTCCAGTAAAGAATCTGGGAATATGCAGAACAACCCTTCTGTCTTTTGACAGATCCACACAACCAGAAGGTGAATTTATGAGCAGGGTCAGATCCCTCAACAAATGTACAGGTATTTCAAAAAAGGGCAAACTGAGGAAAACACAATACTGCATCTTCTTACCCCTTATATTAGAGCCCCCACAGTGGAGCCAGGAGACCTGAATTTGGTGCCCTCTGTAGCTCACAGCTCAAACCAGGTATCTTATGCCCCCAAAGAATGGCATTACCTCCAATGGGCTCACTCAGCTCACTCGAAGGAAAAGAGGGAACATGCAGCTCTCTAGTGGTTACTTAGGTAGAAGAAGAAATGTCTTATATCTGGTTTCTGTACTCTGCACTGAAGTTACTTTCTCTTTTTAAAACTGAATACAACTGAATATTTCTGCGTTATGAATGCCGTCTTCTACACTGTGTAAAATCCTCAGCAGAAAGGACAAATGTAAAAGGACTCATACTAAACCACTATAACCTCATGATGAAGGTATTTCTACAGAAAGGTTGAACACTTCAGAGATCTCCCATGTAATCACTGGGGCTATTCTCTAGTCTTACCTAGACAGAGTCTCCAAACATTAGGAATGTAGTTTCTTGCTTCTCATAGTCATACCCATTCCCAAACTCCAGGCTCATCTGGCACAGGCTACATCACAACACTGACGCCAGCAGTGCTCCTGCCTCAGCAAGGGAGACCCATACAAGAAGGGTGACCTAACCACCAGCTTTAGGGGCTCAGTGGCTCCTTCATTCAGCTGGATTTTGGAACAGCTCCTCCTCTGCAAGGAGAAACCAAAATTCATTATCTCCTTGTGAATATAAAGACATTCCCTTAGACTTTTAATTTAGTGCAAATTCACAAATAAGTAGCAGCAGCAATTCTGCATCTCATATAATAATAATAATAATAAAATAATAGTTTAATTTATCTATATAATAGGCATCAGATGAATAAGTTCAGCTTCTGAGGGACTTTTTAAAATGAAAATAAATTATCATGATTTTTCATGACTTATCATGACTTTTTGACTTTTCATATAAAGTCAAAAAATACTCAATTACTTATCTACCTAGAGTGTTTTCTGGTTCTATAACAAATTCCTTCTGGCATGTAAGCATTCATCAATCACCATATTTTTAAGTTACTTCTTATTTTTTCCAGGATTTAAAACGAATGTTGACCTTATTGTTTTGCATTTTGAGAAATATTAAACTATACTTGGATTCAAAAGCACTCTTCATTAGAATATTTTATTGCATTTTCAATGTAAAAAAACCTTAGTGATCAAAAAGTTCACAGATTTATGTATTTTGAAAGATTTTCTTCATTTTAGGGCAGAAATTTTGTGTCACAGTAGCCTATTCTCTAGAAAAGACTGCTTATAAGAGGGATATTATATTTTTTTCTCAAAAGGACCACTTCAATACTTGACACCTTAAACATGGTTTGTGATAGAATGATCATCAAATCAATTCATGCTCCCTATGACAGAAATAGCAAAAAGGCAGTGATGCTGAACTGACGCCTGCCTGCCATATCTGCCAGCAAACACTGTATGTTTGTACTGGCTTGTTGGCTTTGCAAGGGGTAGCAATGTGTAGGAGGATGAGTCTTTATCAGTTTTTCAACTCATACACTTGACAACATCCTTTTGGAGATTGTTATGCCTCTCTCCTCATCTGTACCTACTGCAGCACAAATGCTTCTGGTAGTGCGTGCTGACTCTCAGGTGTTTGGGTAAGGCACCCATCACCATGGCATCAGGTTCCACAGCAAAATGAAACAAACAAATAAAAAGGCACAGTTACTTGGGGTTTTTTACACAAAACAGGATAAATGGAATATTAGTATGTGCACAGCCAGGAATCTCACTGAAGAACTCGTAATCCTGTATGCAGGGAAAAGAGCAAGATTTGTGTTGTTTCAAACACTGCTTAACATTCTTAGCTCTTGGACTTACTGTCCAGAATTATGAAACTATAACCATCAGTCAAGACAATGGGAGCAAAAGTATCCTCAAGAGAAAGAGGGGTGGATTTGGCACCCACACACATTACACTGAAAAGATGTAATCTGAAATCCCAGTTTGTAACCCTGTTGCTCAATTGGTCCTCAGAGCCTTGTTTCCCATGCCCTGCCTTGGCCTCTATTTTTCTTGCTGCTGACTTGGGAGTTTTCATTTGTGCCATATCCCAGAAATAAGCACAACAAGCCTACAGACAGCCTGTCAGAGGCATCTGTTTATATTCCTCCTGAAGTCTGCCTGGAGAACAGAATGCTCATTAAACAATTTTTCACACACTGATGATCTTTTTCTTCTTGTACTTTTTCTTTTCTTTAACAATAGCTTTCTGAAAAAGAGATGGGTTTGAAAGTTAGTGCAACTACTGAATAATATGAGTAAGTCAATAGGAAAGTAAAGATTTTTTTTTAAATGCAGATTATTGATTTTTGGAATTGTAGGGGCTCCTTCAAAGTCATTAAGGGTTTGTCATGTCAATATGTTAGTAAGGACTTCTATAAATTAAGATTAATGATGCTAGAGATAATTATTGCTGAAAAAACTTACATGTTTCTCAGTATTTGGAAACCCCACGCAAAGGTGAGCAGCATCAAATTCTTCAATTTGCCTTAGCTCCATTTTTGCCATGAGAGCAGGGGGTGGATCTGCTATGACAATGGGAATTCAAATTCCCAGTATCTTTGGAAATCAATGGTAATTGAGCTGCATAACTCTGATTTTTGCTTTTTTAAAAAATCCCCAATATAGTGAGTGTTGCTGTTTTACTAAATCCATAAGCCAAAATATTTCTGATTGTTATTTCTTTCAAAAAGAAATTGAACAGGTAAAGTAGCTGCTTTTCCAAATTAAACACTCATGTCATGCTTCTCAATGTTATTTTTTCCTGCAAAACTTCTTCATATATTTTGCTAAAAGCATGAAAAGATACTAAAAGCATGAAATTAAAGAAAAAAAGAGCTTTTTGTTAGCTTGCAGGAATACAAAGTCCCTACAGCTAATAATCTGATTTTTAAGGGGGGGCCATTTTTTTTAAATCTATAAAAAAATATTCCTTAAGTTACCTCTGCTCGAAGGCTGAGGCTTAAACCACAAACACTGTCCAGGTAATCAATGGTATAGTTCTGCTGGGGTTTCCCTCGCACAGAAAATCTACAATTGGTAGTAGATTTTCTTTTCTCAATTATGAAGCACTAAATTCCAAAATAGTCCTCATGGTTATAATTTGCTTCTATGAAATACATGGTGATAGGTTTTACTCATGAGTTTTCCAAAAAGTACAGCAAGTATACTATGGCAAAGTTTGAATTCCACAGAAACAAACACTGCTTGACCAGCCGTTGCGCATGGAATAAAAATGGTCTGGATATCGGCTTTTTGGGTGTTTAAAGAGAAATAATCAAAGCAAAAGAATTCTGAATGCAGGCCAGGATATCTTGGCTCTTTTCCAATAGACAACTAAACTGGGAAGCCACAGCAGAAATCTGTATTCTGGTTTGGAGAGCAAACAAGGCTGAGAAAAAGGCATCAGCACCGTTCATCTCTGGCATGACACCCACCTGGTGGCCTGCAGGACCACATCCGATTCTGTTTTGTCTGCAGTAGAATTGCAATTTGTACAAGACATTGCATAAGTGTCTCTGCATCCTGAAGTCCTTAATCAGTGGGGCATTTTGAAGAAAGGTATCTTCACACAACAGAAAAATATCTAGCAGTTTGACATATAAAAATACCTGCTCATGAAATCCTATCATCAGAGTGAACATTGCAAAATGTACATGGAACCAGAGAAATTAACTAACTGGGGCTTTTTGGAAGCCTTCCTCTGGGTTTAACTCCTTAGCTTGTGGTAATGTTCATGTCCCACCCTTGCTTTATCCAGGTTGATAGAGTTTATTCTGATCTTGTATAAGCAGAGAAACAGCCAACAGACACTATATGACGATGAGAAATGGAGTTCAAAATCCTGTTATACTGCAGATCTCATTTCAAGTCCTATTAGCCTATAAGAAGGCATTAGTTTGTTAATCTGGAGAGTTTGTTCCTTGTGTTAGGATTAACAGAAACACACATGGAAAAAAAGATCTTTTTTACAATATTAAATGATCCATCACAGCTTGTGCTGGTATGTATACATACATATTAAGGGCTGGATGACCAAGAGGAAACAAATCTCACATTGCCACAAAAAGTTTCTGCTCAGATGTTAGGAGCAAAACATAGAAATCAGACAATACTGCAAAGCAGCAGTCTTTTTTTGATGATGAAAAAATCTCATTCAATACACATTATCCATGAAGTTAATCTTGGTAGATAACTGCACACAGAAGCATCATATAAGCTACTAAAAATTGTTTCTTTCTAGGGTTCATTCCAGACGTTCATTTGCATTATATATATCTGCTGATATAACCATTTTTATGAGACAAAGAGTACTCACTATTTTTTTTTATTTTACCACTCTTTTTTAGCATTTAGTGAAATGCTAATTCACTGATTAGTGAACCAGTATCAGGAGACACAAATACACATAAGGAGAAAAGCTTGCATAGACCAGACCCTTCTGAATTTATTGGTGGAGATCACAGGTACAACAACAGTATGATAAACAGAATATGATTTCTTACCTTTATGATGATTTGCCCCAGATGCTAATTTCCCCCACAGCGTTACAACAAATATTATTATTAGCAGTTTTCCTTTTGTTGCTTTCTGTAAGTATCTCTTATTCATCCTGAAAACAAAAATACACAAAATTAAATACTTATCTTAAGATTTATTAAAAAGACATATTTTTCTTAATTTAAGGTGAATTGACTAAGTTTTTATAAGTGTCCAGCTCACAATCCTAAAGTCTTAAATTCTGCTTACCTCTAAATGAGGTACATAAAGCAGCAACATAACCTCCCACCCTGGTCGGAGAGCATTCCTCCACCCTAGTGTGGAGGAATCTCCAGGACCAGGAGATTTCAGCATCATCATTTCTCTCAGGGCACAAACGTTGTTCATAAGCACAGCAGACTTCAAAGCTGGCAAGAAGGATGGACCCATGCATCTCTGAGCAGGTTTTGATAAACTGAGCAGTTCCACTACTGTGTCTGCAGCCAGTCATGGCAGTGCAGTTATCACTGATCATACAGTGGCGTTTCTAACTTTTGGGATTGCAGCTCTTTTTGGATTGTGCCCACGAGTCCTAAGGCAATAACAGATTTGAATAGACCTTCAGTTCATGTCCCAGTCCTCCTGCAGAGAAATCCTGTTAGGAAGACTTGAATGGTTTGGAAACATGACGTAGAGCAGGGCAGATTCACTACCCTCTCTCCTCACTACCTTTGGGTAATGAAAAGATCTGATTTACTGCACCAAGGGAAATTGCACAGAGCTCCCCTCATCTCACTCAGTGATGCTTTCACTGTGACAGTAAGCCACCAGAGTGGCTCAAGCACAAGATAACACATGACTTATTTCTCAGTAACCTACTCCAAAGACAAAATACCCCTCCACCTGCCAAAAAGACAAGTTCAAGCATGTAGGCTCTAGTGCTGAAGGATTACAGTTGTGCAGAGAGTGGCAAGAGGTACAGTAATGTCCTTCTCTCACTTCTTCCCTGTGGAAGAATGCTAGAGGTCTGGCTATGAAACAGCTCTATGCAATGGTCATGTTTCTGCTGATAGGTCAATAGAAAAATTATAACTATTTCAAACCATTTTTACTAGAAAAGCTGAAAATTTGATCACTTGAACAAAATTGCTGTATTGTAATGCCTGGAACTAGGCTGTTTTTCTGAGCAGAAAAAAATGCATTGCTTCATTATGGTCACACATTTGTCTCCTATTATGCTCATAAGAAACCCAAAGGAATTCAAGTGCATCTCTTCTCCTCTGCTTGTGTACAGTGCTATCTTGGACAACCACAACTCTGAAATGCAGACTGCTGTAATACAGATTTAACCAGTAATATGTTGAAAGTCCCAAATCGCTTTCCACTTCTTCAAAACAATTCCTCTCCTTTCAGCAAATGTCTTTCAAATATAACACCACATGCTGATAAGGCAACACACACCCCACAACTCCACTTTTGACTTCCAGAATTGAAACCAGACCACTTCCCCCAGAACAGCCAATCTTGCTCTCCAGGAGATTGATGAGGAAGCTGTGTGTAAGAAAACATGACTGAAACTAACAACCCACTGAAGAGTGCTCCAAACCCTTTTAAACATTAATTCAGAGCAAACAGAGCTCAGCATTCTTTTACAGAAGTCACACATTTATTATGTGTTTCCCAGAGGTTTAGATATCACATTTATCAAACAAAAGGAGAGAGGAGTAAGCAAGTGCTGTAGCCATGATGGTGCATGTGCTGCTGAAAGCCTGACTGATTAATAATCCCAGCAGAGATCACAGTGTGCTGTGAACCACTCTAAGGTCTGCCTTCTTGCACTGACTCCTGTGCCTTTGGAGTGTAAACTGCATATTCATCAACAGCTCCAGGTTTATGAACCATTCAAAGCTAAAGGGAAATACATTATTTGTCACTGTAAATAAGAACAAAAAAAAAAAAAAAAAGATACTAGAATGCACATTCAGCATATTCTCTTTCACATCTATCTCTGTGAAAAGAATATGAATTAACTCTTTCACTCTAGATTCTCATACTGCACCTGTTATGCTGCTGGTGCCAAGTCATCTCTCATTAAAATCAAATCTTTCTTCCTCACCTACATAACATTGCTCAAAACCCAGTGGGACTTGCACCATTAAAGCAAAGTTGAATCTAATACAGTTTCTTTCTGTATTCTGCTGATGCCAGATTCCCTCACTGTGCTGTGAGACTGGCAGCAAATGCACATCAAAAAAATGCAAATGCATCAAGAAAAAAGCAATGGCAGGGGAAAGAGAGAAAACCAACCTCTCTGCCTGAGAACAGCAGCCCTCGGGATGCATGGTAGAGTGAAGATACAAACCCCTGCACACAGATGAGCACACCAAAAAGGAGTAAGCTACCACTGAGTGAGGCTGTTTTCTCAAAAGTAAGGGAAGGGTTTCGGCTTTGACACAGAAAATCTGGGCTCATTGCCATTGCTAGGTTTCCCAATAATGAGAAAAACTATTCACCACTTTCTGCACTACAAGCCTATTATATTTTTCTGCACTAGTTATTAGTGGTATTCGCCTTCAGAAGGACAAAAATCTGAACTTTGTCTAATAGTAGTCCCATAATAAATATAATTAACAGAAAAATCAGTGCAAGGAGCAGTTTGGAACTAATAGTTCAGAGGCCAGCAGAAGAACTACAAAAAAATCCTCATCAGTTAAAGCATTCATAACATACAGCTGTTCAAATAGAAAAAGCTGGAAGATTATGTTAACCTTCAAATTAATTACACTATACAACCTAGACCCAGACCTGTGATGGTGTACATTGTCACTCCCAGTGGTTAGTCCAAGGATCGACAAGAGGCTGCATAAGCACAAATCTGTGAAATTCTCTGCTAGGAGCAGTCCTGATACACACAAGGACCACACTGTATAAATAAAGGCCTAGAAACAAAAAATGAAGGGTTTGTACTCCAAGAAGCTGAGGTTGGGATGAGTGCACATCATTGACAACATGAGTCAGGAGCTAGAAAAGAAGATGAGGACAGAAAGGCCATGAGATATGCTCAGTATCTTGCTGCATGCATTATCACCTGGGCTCTGAAACCCTGATGCTGATTATTTTGTTATTGATTTGCAAAACAGGCACTGAGAAGACACTGGCACTAGGTAGCATTTGACCTCAGCTCTGAACCAACTATTAGCCTCTTGCAACCCTGATCTAGGTCAGGTAAGCACAGCCAGGAAATAAAATTGAGACTATTTCAGTACTGTTATTACACTAACATAACTGGCTGTGATAAGTAGGAAAAATAAGCTCTGGAATGATGTCTGCTTTTACTAGAGGTGATGCAGAGCTCCACAGACAAACTATAGATATTAACCTTCATCATTTTCATTTTTGAGACATTTATTTTTTATTTACTTTCTTTGCTGCAGAATCTCTCCCTGACAGATCCATCCAGCTTTCAATAATGCCACATAAGCCAAAGCTGATCAAAACAGAGAATAGCCATGCTATAGGAAACACCTATATATGAAAATCAATTTTTCACATGAGCTTTATGTGAAACAAAGAATTTCCTTCAGTTTACAACCTAACATATTGGAAATAAACCCAAGGAATTCTCTGCACTTTCACACAAAAGAGGACATGAAAGTCTGCCATGTTTGAATTCATTTTTCAATGTGCTTTGAGTCAAGAAAAAAAGAAAGCTCCTTTTGTGGTTCAGGAACACATTCAAAATATAACAAAAAGATGTTACCCACATAATTCAAACAGGCCGTATCTGAGTGTGAGATGGCTCTGTTGTGCCCAGCTCTTCACTGACACCATATCACAAGGATTCATTCATAGGATTTGTTACTTTTGCTCCCAAAGATTTCTTTTGCCTGAAGCACACTCCATGAGACCAACACTAGTCTGGTATAATGAACTCAAGAATAGACTATTTTGGTGATTAGTGACAAAAAAAATGCAGAGAAACTGCAAGGAGAAACCATATCTGATGCTGCAGAGGAGTTTCACAAGATGCCACGTCAGTAGAAATCCCTGCCCGTGCCCTCTGTGGCTCAACAGCAAACTGTGAATACACTCCAGTGTCACATAGGCTCTCCTTGTCACTGCTCCACCTCGCTGTCAGCCCACTTTCAACAGCAGATGAGGTCCAACCATTCAGCTGTACTGAAAATGCCATGCACAGATGCGTATTTTCAATGTAGCATCCATATGCTTTTGCACATCTACTTTCTTTTTTCTTTGTTTGTGGACCCTGAGATCAGCCACCTTGCCAGCAGTTCAGAATTAAAGGAGAATCCCATGGGAATTACCTTATATTGTACGACCAGTGCTGAACAGTCTTGCTTTCTGTTTTTATGTGAAGCACAAACTCATGTTCTTTGTTGTTGAGGAGTAAAAACAGTAAGGAAAAAATAGCTTTTATTTGTCCTTTAAAAGCTTATACACAAATAAAATTCTCATGTCTCCTATGAGAAACAGAATTTTTCTCTGTTGGTCCTTGTTTTTCTTTTCTTTACATACAACAGATTCTCTGAAGTTGTTCAAAATTCCTTCATTCCTGCTTTACATATGTGGGAAATTTCACTGTAAGTAAGGTCCATTTCCCTTTTGCAAATACACAAACCCTGTGAATGCAAGTGTTCACAAAGAGATACATAAGCCTATTTCTCTACTGAATCATGACAAAATGCTTAAAAGACAAAAATCTGATAGAAAATTAGTCCCACATCCTCTTAGTTTTCTTTTTATGACAAATATTTTATTAGCTGCTTCAGAAAAAGCCTAAATGAGAAGTAGAAATCACTTGAGACCCCAAGTCTCTTGTACAGAAATAATGCAGCCATTTAAATTATCTTCTCTACTGCATTGAATCGTACATTATTTATTAGTTGTGTTAGTTGCTACATCCCACACAATGCAGGTATTTGCAGTTTTATTCAGCCTTTCCAGTGTAGACTAATGTAGATTTAAAAATGCCCCCCTGGTGAATAAGGTTGCTTTGTAAAAATAACACCAATGTGACCCCTGTGCATTTGCATATATATAAATTCCCTCTATGACATTCCTGTCATGTTTGCTCAGGGAACAAGTAATTTGCCACTTTCATTACTTCAGGTA